TAAAATATAGTTTTATATATAGTTTTAACAATATATAAAACATACAATGGATATTTTGTGTTTAAAACACAAATATGACAAAGGCAAAAAGTCTAGCAGGATGTTAAAGAAAAAAATGAAAAATAGGATCTTTAAAAAGAGGCAAAAAACTATTCAAATGACTAAAATTGTTCTTGAAGAATCTAATAGTCAAAACTCAAATCTGCAAAAACATTGCGAGCTTATACATATATGTCTGACACCTAAATGGTTCAAAGAAATATCCACAGAGATAAATCATTAAATAAAGAATCCTACCTAGTTTCACTTCCCAACCTAAGTAGAAAGAGTATATACTACATACATAAAATACCATAGCCCTGGATTCCAAATATAAATTAAGATCTCTGTTTGTTGAAGAGAAAAAAAAAAGGTAACTATTTTGCGCAGGTGCACTCCTTTACTCCAAATGATCTCTTAGTGGTTATTAAATGGTTTAGTAATCCACTTGACTAGACATCATCTGTAATACCAAGAGAGTAAGTGTGAAACATAGTCACTTGATTCAGGTTCTTAGATAACTCATTTATACTTTATCCACTCAACAATTACTTGTTGAGTGTTTCCTATATGCAAGGCTCTGTCATTAGACATTGGGGTAGCTACAAAGATAACTCTACTCAATGCTCTTCAGTGACCTAAATGGGAAGGAAATCCAAAAAAGAGGGGATATATGTATATGTATAGCTGATTCATTTTGCTGTACAGTAGAAAGTACCACAACATTGTAAAGCAAATATACTCTAAGTAAAAAAAAAAGTTAAGTAGAAGAGATATTTATTGTCTAATGAGGCACACAGACCTACAAATAACTGCAATTGGAATTAAGGTGAAGAGATATGGAATCAGAGTGGAGGAAGAACTGAATAACTACCCTGCAGATCTCTGCTTTTCTTATGCTTATGATTAGATATAAGTACAAATACATTTAAACATTCCCAAAAGCTGAGACCTTACCTTAACCTATAGGTTCAGTGGCCATATGACTTCCTTCTTTCATTTCTTACATTCTTATTTATTTTTTTATTTTTTGCGGTACGTGGGCCTCTCACTGTGGTGGCCTCTCCCGTTGTGGAGCACAGGCTCCGGACGCGCAGGGTCAGCGGCCATGGCTCACGGACCCAGCAGCTCTGCGGCAAGTGGGATCCTCCCGGACTGGGGCACGAACCCGTGTACCCTGCATTGGCAGGCAGACTCTCAACTACTGCGCCACCAGGGAGGCCCCGTTACATTCTTATTTTTAAACTTATTGACTCTGCTGTCTATCTGCATAAAGATGGATTAGACTAAGTAAGGAATATACATGAATATACTACTTACTAGTTATCCATTTTAAGTTTAGAAAATATAAATTTGGGGGAATAAGGAAGATATACAAAGATATATATCCTTTCTGCCTTATCTAGTAGCAGTCAGCAGGATACAAACAACTCTTACCCACTGGCTTCTGGGGATCTCTCAAAGGCTAACCACTACTCTAGAACTACCAGCAGTGTCAGCTGATAGCCAGGGGTGGGTGCTGGACTGGCCTTCTATTGAATGATAGCCCCTTACCTATCACCCTGAGTTGACATAGTGATAGAAAGAAGAGTAACTTAGGTTAGAGTTAAGTAATTTACCAGTATGTCCCAGTATTTATATAACTTGGTTTAGCTTTTAAGCCAAGACATATATTTCAATTAAACCAATCTTTAATGCTTCAGTGGCCAGCAAAATTTAGTTAAGCTTGACAAACAAACCCACTCACAGTCTTGCCCCAACCTACCTCTCCATTCTCTCTCTAGCCATTTTTGCCTACACGCTTTTCAATTCCTGCCTCGAAAAGCAGGAAATGCTTTCCCATATTTCCTTGAAGCGTGAGTCACCTTATGAAGTGTGTCTTTCCAAAATGCTATTCCCTCAGGCTGGAATACTCTCCTTCCCCTCTCAACTATTTTCATTCAGCCTTTGAAACGCAGCTGAAATACTGGCTCCTTGACAAAGCCTTAGCTTACACAGTGCATTGTTAAAAACCGGTGTCACCATGCTCATCTACCTCCTTACGAATCTGGTCATTTTTCTGTCTCTTGTATACTAGACTATAAGTTCTCTTGTATGGAAATTCTGTTGTGTTCATTTCTGTTTCCCCAGTACCAAGTAGAGTGCCAAGAAAGCATCAATAGTCTCATCAATATCAACTGGTGAATCACCAATACTTTGCCCAAAGTAAGCATTCATTAAGTGTGTCATTGTCAAGAATTTCCATCAAGACTTGTTAAAAATCTATTTCATCTGCCCTCAGGAAGCCTGAAAATAGATCTAGGAAGAATAAGGCCCTTTTGGAGTGTCCACAACTAGCTCCTTTTTGGGGCCTCCTGATGGGTAGTGAACCTGCTGTTCACCACAGCAAAGACATCTGAGTCTTAGAACTACAAGTACTTGTGCTTAAATCTCACCCCTGCCCATTCATAAAGTTAACATGAAAATGATCTTTGAGGTACTATATAAGTAACTAAAAGTTAAGTATCTCAGTTAGGTTCCTTTTTGTACTACTTTCCCATATTCAGAAAGTCTTTTGTGATATTTATTACAAAAATATTTTGTGTTGATCTGAAAACTAGACATACTTCTTCTGGCAATACATTTAAGTGATGTAAGTCACATTAGCTATTGGTATCATATGGAGATTTAAAAAATACAATGTACTTCCACAGACATCCAAGTACTGCAGTGCCTCATTTAGCCAGCATATTTTGGTTTCTCTTAAAAGAATATAAATTATTTATCCAGCATTATCAAGGAGTGAGGAACTTCACAAACTAGATTTTTCGGAATAGCAATTTTTATAAAGGGCTTCACATATCTTTAAGATTTTAAATATTCTCAATGGATATATATCACACAATATTACACAGTTTCCAGTTTAAAAAAAAAGCCTGGTACAAACAATATAATCTCACTTTTCCTTGATGATTCAGGACTATTATTATCAATGTCAATTACTACACTATGCACCATCCATCTTGTAATACAATGGTACCCTTAAGGACTATTAATAAGTATAAGGCTATCTGCCTTTATCCTAAATGAATTCAGATTGTTTTTATGACTCCTTGTTTTTCATTTTCTCTGCCTCCTTCCTCTACTCACTGACATTTTTTTTTTTTTTGCCATTAAAAAAAATTGCAGTCAGTGTGTTTGCATGGTTATTTTTCCATACAATTGTCTAGATGAAGGCTTATGAATGGCTAAATTCTACTAGAGAGCTAAGTGCATGGGCTTTGTAACTGCAATTTGATAGTTAGGGGACCCTTCTTTCCCTCAGTATTTCTAAATCCATGACATGGCCGAGATTGTAAAAAGAATAACAAATGAGGGAATTACCTGGCGGTCCAGTACGTAGGACTCAGCGTTCTCACTGCCGGGACCTGGGTTCGATCCCTGAGTAAGTGGTCTGTGAGTAGTGCTAGTCTTCATGTATATGCATTATTGGTTTATTACTTTTACTCAAAAATAATTAGTCTTATTATTAAGGTAAACCTTAAATTAGCTGTCAATTTATTGTTTAAATATAAATGAAAATTGTTATTGCTAATTAATTCAAATTTTAAAAGGCCAGTCATGAACTTCAGATTCAATATAGGAAGTTCTTCAAAGTTACCACATTGCAGAGGAGTATTCTTCTTCAGCTACTGATGTTGAAAAAAAAAAACAAAAGTATTCACCATTCTATTCTAGCATGACAGTAGGAAAAATTCAAATTCTAACTCAAACCTTTTCACCAAACTCTTTATATAGATAGTTTCACTATATTTGATTGGTTTCATCAGGAAAATAAGAAGGGGAAGGGAGAGAAAAGATGCTTTTTTCATTCATGAAAACAAATTTTAAATAGATAGTTATGTCTATTAGAATAAAGAAATTTAGTAAAAGGCATGAAATCCAGTATTTTAAAACTCCTGTCACAATTTGGTTAGAATATTAATCTAACACTTGCTTGTGGTCTTTAAAAATGAGATTTGTAAAAATTTGAAAGGTGTCACAGTAATAGATATTCACAAACTCTACAAGGCACCTAGATATAATAAGGGGAAATCTTGCTTCTCAGGATTAATGTAAAATAAAACATTCACTTTGCTTAATTTACAAGTGGATGCCAGCTTTATATCTCAAAATACCAGTTCTACTTAAAAGGTCATCCTAACTTTAAAAAATTGTATTGGAATAAAGAATACAACGTATTAACTTGGCTGAATTAAAAGAAAAAACATCCTTTTTTTCCCAGTAGAAAAGGCTATTTCTACTTTATACTGATTCCCAGTGTACCTATAATAATGACCAACTTCACGGATGTAATTCTTTTCAAGTTTAAAAATAATTAATTTTAATAAAATGATATGAATAGAAAGTAAGTATATTTCTTATTCAATAAACAAAGAAAATGGATGAATTAAAATCTAGGTTACTCCAAGTTATATCAAAGAGGTCCAAATTGCAACTGGTAGTCAGCTGACCTGATCACTTACAGACTTTCCATCTCAGCATTCCTTCATATTTAATATGGATTCTCAGTACTGCCTAGTCAGTTTAAGCAGTATTTTTAACTGGAATATTTCTTCCAGGGTATTTCTTAAGCACTTATATAGTCATCTAAAAGATGACTTAAGCAAAGCATAGGCCAGGTTTCAGGATTAGAACTCACAACTGTCTAATTTTCTAATCTAATTTTCTGATTTTCTGCTCTGCAACTTTATGAGTCTCATCATTCTCTGCTTAGGCTCCATCACAAAAAACACTATACGCCATCCTTTAAAAAAAAAAAATTCCTACCAGCATCTTTATAGAATTGTGATAGGTTTTAGTTAGTAACTTGATAAAGAAATTCTTGAGGAACAAAATGTTTTGATTTCTTAGCAACTGTCTCTAACTCTAAAAAGAAAGGAGAAAAGTAAAGTATTCTTTTAGAGAAGAGAAACACTTACTGGTACTTTGAAGGGTGAGGTATTTGCAGTATCCATAGAGTTGGGTTTCTCTGATGTACTGGTCCCTGAGATACTCCGTCTGCGGGGGGACCTTTCTGCTGGCACCTCTGGAAAAGAAAAAATGAACATCATAAAAAACCCAAATTTAGGATCTTTCGCTAACCTGTAAAATTATTGATTTTTTTCTCACAAAAAATCAGTCTGCTTTAAAGATACATTACATTCTATCTCTACATAATTTGTTTCTTTATCTCTAAAGAGATATTATCAAGACACTAGGGAGACTTGGTCACTGTTAAGAATCTGCTTTAGCGTGACAGCTTATATCTTTATGCACATATAAAAAGTAATTTCCTCTGAGCTATGTTTAATATCTCTAAGTTCACTTAATATTTGCATCTCAGTGTATGAATCTACTTCTCTATGTCAGCAATATAGGAGTTAATATAATCCAGTGAAATTTTTTCATATTCTTGTGAACAAATTTTGCCTAGTGAACATGATTTGATGGTGTCTGCACAAAGGTCAAAGTTCAGTTCTGTGCAGATAAGATGATTCACTAGCCTGCAGCCAAAGGTCCCTGAGAAGACTAAAAGCTGCTGCTAGGATAAAATAACATATATGCCTATGCTGGTATAAAAATAGATCAGCTTCTCCTTGTTCTGGCAATATGACCTCACTAAGATTTTACTCTGGAATCCTAAATCTGTTCAAACTGACCTAACAAGCTTCAGATTTTGCAGATGATGTGGTATTCTCCAATTTAATTACTATACACTATATTAAGGTTACATTAAAAATTTTTATAGAGTGATATACATATATATGCATATATATATGCACATAAACACGCACACACAGATTATAGATATATACATATTATACCTTTATCACAACTGCTTCCCATCTCCACTTCAACTGACAGACATATAGGAATCCATCTTCTCAGATAACATTAGATAATCTCAACATGGACAAGGAAAAAAAAAAACACATCCTAAAAAGAGTATTCTGTGTTATCTTCCAGATCTTAAAAAATAAGGAGTAAATCGTGACTCCGGAGACTGACATTTTGATTCCTGC